GATGACTTCCCCCAAACTCAACCTTCACGTAATAGACAGTTAGCGATTGATAAACGGAGAAGGTTAAGTTAAGTTAGCAGACAATGGCTTTACTTCCGTGACACTGGAAAGTACTGGGCAATAAGTACCCTGCCATGCGTTTCACTCGGGTTACCATTTTACTAAGTTACCATCACACTTACGGAACATACGCCCACCATCACCTGTAGTCTTCTGGCTTCATTCACTAGGCTGACTGTTGCTTCGCGACCGATTTCAATCGGGCGTCGTTAACTAAAACTGTACCCTGCCATGTCAATAATGAGGGATTTCATGCTTCTCAGATTATTATTTGGAGCACATACTGCCCTTCTGAACAGCACTTTTAGTTTAGACATCACTCTTGTTTATCAGTATCCACCAGCATGTATACTGGCGTTTTAACAGGTTGGATTTAGTCACTCGATCTAAATTACAGTTGCAGTGGATACTGCGCAAAGTGCAGTTTTAATTACTGTATTTAGCTTTGAGAAGTTGTAACAGAATTTTCACTTTCTTTTTAGGTCATTTCGGGAAACTGTGTGTGCTAAGTGCTTTCTCTATGGTGTCACTTGACATCGCATAAATTTGTTGACAAACCTTTTCTTATGACAGACAGAGAGCCGTACATTTCAGTGCTTGCTGGGTTCGCATGCTTCACTCTACCAGATCAAGAATAGGGATCTCTATATGCCAAGATAGATATCTGCTGAGCACAAAATATTCCGGTCATTAATTTATGCTCTAGCATACATTATCTGTTAAACATCTCTCTTATCTTTACGTCTCATCAGATGTGAGGAAAAATAATTGCATCAAATGAAATTTCCTTCTTAATGACGTCAAATGCATTTGTCACTCTTCTGTTTGTCTTCTCACCATTTTTATGGCCTAAACACCACCACCGTTGTATGTGGAGGTTGTCTGGCAACGTTTGACGGCTGCAAATGTCGCCACTATTGAATGGATGTCTAATAACCTGGCAGATTCAACCCGTTGGAGTTTAAAATCCCTGATATGGTCTAGTTGCTCGCTGTTCAGCAGAAGACAGGAGCTAAGCGATTATAAGTATAATTGTGGATCATACTGATGTTTATTTATAGAATATGAAGCTGCAGCAGTTGAACCTGTCACAGTTTGAATTCGTTACGTTTGAAGTCCTAACTTTCGGCATTGTAGCCATTTGCGCTGTGATTGCTTATTTGTCGGTTTATTGACAGTGGAACAATAAACAGTCTTCAACTTGCCAGTTCATCTTCTGATATTTTCGAGTTAGTTGTAGTTCACTGTATTTTCATTTGGGTCTGTTAATCTTCTGGTAACCGCCCAGCTTCAGGATACCTATGATGAGAGTTTTCATAGCCGACTCATTTCCAAAAGGTCTAGAACATATGTCGGTTGTGCCGTGTTTACCTGTAATCGTAGGTCAAAAGAAGCCGGCCTGGGCACCCACAGGACTAAGGCAATAACAATGTTACGTTTAAATTTAAAGCGGCAAACCTCAGACAAGTGATGCGGACTCTAGTGTTCCTCCATTTGGTCCCGTTTACGCGATGCGAAACTATTGCATGACTTACTGTATAATATATATTTCACATAAATTAAGCATTTCTCAATTTTCTACCAGTTCAACCAACATTCGCTAAACTGGCAACTCTGATGTGTTTTCTTATCAACACTCTCGAATATATCATACACTGACTTTAATTTGTACTTCAAAAGAGTTTCAAGCAACGTTGTATTTTCCGTCGTCTTCCAAGTGTCTAATAAAGCGGAAAGTAAGCAAAAAATTAGACGCTTCATTTTGTGGGCAAACAAGAGCCGCCAACACTCAAAATAATTAAAAGCCGTAGTGTACTGACTATCTGAGGTTAGTTCATTGATACAAAAGCTCTGCTGAAAGATCCCAACCTTTGACCCACTAGTAACTTTACTTGGGACAAGAGCTTCGTGTCTACGTTGTTACGTGATCGTGTATTTCTACACTTCCTTCATGTGATTGGTATTAAATGCACCTCTGCGTAACCATAAGTTTTAGGAACAGCTTGACTCACTAAATCCGGTGGCCAGACTAAAGATTCAGTAGTTAATTTTACCGAAGCTCAGGCTGAGCAGGATAGGTGGCTACACAATATCATGGACTTCATTTCTGGCTGAGGTCAATAGGGAGCGATCTCGAAGTCGTTCAGGCAACCTAACTAGTTTACTAAACTGAGAGCTTTACACTGTGAAATAGTATGTGTCAACCGAACTTACCTAAACATTGAAACTGAGTTTGTATCCCGACCTAAATTGAAATATCCTTAATAAGCTTCACGTAGTATATTTTTGCAAGCGTAGCATCTAACCACGGCATATGCCCGTAATAAGTAATATATTTTACACGTTGCGTCAGCAAAATGTTACAGTTTTGTTGTAATTATATCCAATATCGTTGTATCAAGCAGACCACTCCTCGCAATATGTATGGATCCGCTTCTCCAAAGAGGCGAATGGAAAATAAAATAGTTAAGTTGGCCTGGCACTGGAGTCAAATCCTTACGGATTATGTAGTTCCACGAAATCACAACATGCAAACCTCTATTCTAAAATTGTGGTGGATGAATGTTTGGCTTGAAAGATTAAGCAAATGTCATCACATTAGGGAAACGAAGGAAGAAATATTTACAGCTTTATAACAGCGGTGGACGATGAAAAGGAAACATTCTTGGTATCCAGACAAGAAAAATGAGATCCTGAGCACAAAATGACAGCAGTTCAATTGCTAATAGTTGTAATATACATTAGGGATGATAATGGTAATAACAGCTTTATTCTGGACAATTTTTATGTAATTTCAGAATTTTCAGCGAAGATCACTGCATGATACGCCCTCTTCTCCCAGGATCTTAGAATAATTGACAGTAGGTCTTGTGAGAAAATTCTACCTGACCCGGAGCTTAATCCAGTATGGTATGTCTTCTTCTCCGCCTTCGAGAAATGCACGACACTTAGTTGAACGCCAGGAAGTTCAGGACTATATTTGGTGAACCAACCCGGGAACATTTATTTCATGAATTGGGTTAAGCTGCCTGCGAGGATAATACTTATTCACATGTTTAACAGAAACTTGAGAATCACTAGGCTCTAAGTGTTTTAAATACTTGCCAGAGTAAGCGATACCATTAGAGGTCATATTTTGCTGAATAAGACAAACTGTAAGCAGTATATCGATGGGAGTTTTCTATAGCCCGTTTTTAAGCACATCATCAAAGAAAGGAAGAAGTCAGAGTTGGTTCGAATAAAAGGGATTATTGAGAAGAATCAAAATAGGAAACAAGTGCTCCTAATGCTCGAAGAGGTTTCGCAATTTCTAACTTCCGTTGAAGGAGGGGAAGATCCTGCGTGACGAATCTTCTACTAGCTTGGAACGATTGGACACTATCCTGGGACAAAAAGGTACCAGCCCACGTGATCTTTCTCGACTTTGCGAAAGCATTCGACACAGTTCACCATGGTCTGCTCCTTCACAAAATAAGCAAGGCGGGTGTTTCTGGAGCACTTCTCGCATGGCTGACAGATTACTTAGGCGAGAGAGAATTCTGCACCAAAGTCAACCGCATCCGATCATCCTGGCACACCTCGGCATCAGGGGTTCCTCAGGGTTCTATCCTAGGGCCGTTGATGTTTTTGATTTTTATCAACGACCTACCCTCCCAACTAAACTGCTCTGCGCTTCTTTACGCTGACGACGTAAAGATTTGGAGAGCAATAAACTCATCGGAAGACTCAGACAGATTGCAGGCGGACCTGCAAACTCTGGGAAACTGGGCTCTAGCTAACGGAATGCCTTTCAACCTAAAGAAGTGCAAAGTAGTGCAACTTCATTCGGGCAGGTCACAGAGTGTAGATTACACCCTTGGTGGCCAGAATTTGAGTTGTGTTCAATCAGAGCGAGACCTAGGTCTTATTCTAACAGAAAAGCTGGACACCAGTAGAAATTACTCGAGGGACGTCGCCAAAGCCTACGCAACCTACACTTTATGCTTAGGCAGCTGGGAGCTCTCACTCCGGAACTGTTCTTAAGGTTATATAAGGCATATGTGAGGCCACACCTTGAGGTGCATAATATCATTGCACCTCCGCTACTCAAAAGGGATGCTAACATTCTAGAAAGTGTCCAGAGACGAGCGACAAAATGGGTGATCGGCCTCCGCAACAAATCATATGAGGAAAGACTAAAGAAATTAGGTCTCTTCACACTTAGTTACCGAAGGCACAGGGGAGACCTCATCACCGTCTACCAGATCCTAAATGACCAGGCCCACCCAAATAAAAGCATCCTGCCATTAAGTGACTATAGGCTTCCACGAGGTAACCCGCTAAGGATAGCACACCAGAGACCAAAGACTCGAGTGCGATCACATTTCTTTTCGCTTCGTGTTTGCCGTCTCTGGAACGCTTTACCGGCGGCCGTGACTACAGCGCCTTCTCTGGAGATTTTTAAGCGGAAGCTAGACAATCATGCAGAAATGCAAGGTTTGTGTCTCAATGGCTTATCCCCATAAAACTTGAAACCACACTGTCAATGATAAGCGTACAAACTAAATCCCCGCGACCTATTCTGCCTCCTCTCACTCTATCTTTTCCTTAGGTCACCTTTATTATTCCACTTATTTCAACCTATATTATCTACACTACAACCCATTATTTTTATTCTTCTTCTTATTACTACTATTCTGCTTTTATGACTACACCGAATGACCAAGGGGAGTTAGGTCAAACTCCATTCACGGCAGCAATACAGTCCTAACATACTGCACACTACAAACCACATCTCGACCAATCCCCGCACCACTCCTCCTGGAGTCTACCAGAGCTAAAGCAGTCGAGTGGCGGGACTTACTACGCAGAAGCTCACCGAAGATCTGGAACCTCTACCTCACAATCAAGAAGCGAGCTCAAAGAAATCACTTGTTTATACTAGCTCGTAATCAGGATATTGGATATTGGAAGCAGGGCTAGCAATGACATCTGACTACGGTCGACACCAATTTCCGGATCGACTTTTCTGTGACAGCAGTAGATTTGAGACCAATTCCTAAACAAAACGACAAAAGTTAATAAGTTTAAAATGGTGACAGTCCAGTGCAGTACAGTCATAAGTTATTTGTTTTACGAGGCTGTGGATCAACTACTTTTGTGCACATTTCAGTTTTAGTAATGTGTAGTCGTGTTTATAGCTCATAGCATGCAAGTAGACACGGGGATATCTCATTTAGGCCTAAAATGCCAACAAATAAGCAATGCTGCAAAGGATTACGAGTTTCTCGCAGCATTGCATTCGTTAGCTATTTCTTGTGAGAAAGGCGAAGTCGGTACATTTAACACCAGCCAGTCTGAACAAAGTGGTATGAAAACATTGTTTAAAATGTTGGGTCGTCTAAGCAAAGACTGCGGGGGCCTATGGACTGTTAACGAAGAAAGTGACTGGTGAGTAGATTCAAGTTTGATTTTTATTCTTTAAATTCAATGTTAACTATGTACACCGCACACAGAAGTATGAATCTGCCTAAATCACAGATACTGAGTCATGTGTTTATTAACATAGTGATCTGCTGTAGTTTGTTGCTGGATTTACTGGGATCAATGTGAATTACTTGATTTCGGTAAGCGGGAATATTAGTTGCGTTCGTGAACATTATAAACACTAAGTAAATACATTCTAGCTGTTTTACTGCAGATTCCCTGCGACTCATATAGTGTTTCCTATCTAAAGACACTTAAATATGGGTTGAATTGAGATATATGATGGCTAGTATATAATATTTAGTAATTTATAATGTCTATATTTGGAAAATCCCAGTGAAAATTATTACATTTTCTGAGAGCGACTGAGTTAAGTCAAATGATGAATTACTATCCAAACGCAAAGAGTGACCAGAATTGATGTTTACTTTTAAGAGCTGCACGACTTGTAAAGACAGCTCATTTAAAATCGCATTTATCATATCGTTCCTAATTTATGACATACAAATCTAGCGATGACTAAAATTTACTTAGAAATATAAGTTCGGACTTGGCTGCAGTTATTATGTGTATATTGGCTCGGATCTTTTCCTTTCTATAAATTTCGGTGAGCTAGATGTCAGTAATTTACTTTTCGAAAAAAACCACACTTAGTTCGAAAACCTGGAAGAAGACAAGCCTCTAAAATATTGTCAAGTAACTGATCAGAAGTATTATAAAGTAACAGCTACAGTAGTCCCTATATATTTCGAATTGAGGTGAAACAACTGTCACTAAAGCTATTGATCAAACCAGATAAAGTTTTTTCGCAAGTATTATACTGACCGTCTGGTTATCTATCTCTTCTAATGGCATTATTTCCTTAATCATCAGAATATTTGAGAGGTCTAACAACTACTAAATGTTGTCACCTTCCAGAATAAGTCTTCATTATGACAATCACCAGATAAAGCCAAGGAACACTGTTAACATTTACTGTACTTTGATTGGTAATTTCCTGACTGATGCTTTTTTACAGACTGAATACTGATACACATAGTTAAAAGTTGCTGTACTCACCTTCAGGTTGTTATTATCTGCGTTTTTGACATAAGGACTATTCTGAAACCATCTTGTTGAAAGGAGCTCCTGAAACATATAAATAACTTTGCAGACTGGATGTACCGATCACATGTGAGGGAAAGTGTTGCCATCACAAAACATACCAAGTAATTAGTGCATAATATTCTGAGATGTCAACCCCTTATCTGATTTGGCACATTATTTTCAAATAAAGTTGTCTGCATAATTCAGTGGTTAAACAGTTAAAAAGACTTGTAACCTGAAGAGAAGCTAGGACGGATAAGAATGGTAATATAATCTTAATATAGGTTTTTGATGAGGAGGAGCTGATACTGTCCAAATTTTATCCGTTTGCCTACGAAGTGATGTTTCTTAATAAAAAATCCCGCACGAATTGATATGTGACTTCTACTAGAACATGCAAAAATGTCTTCGTGGTGTCAATCGTATACTGCTCATTCAAAGTTATCACTGTCTGAAAAGCTTATTTAGCTTTAGACAACCTTGTCACTGACATTGGTACTCTGTTGAGCAATATGCAGTGTGAACATTTGAAGATCCACATTTTCCAACCGGCCTTCAGGGGTAAGCGGAATGCTTCTATCCGCACATTACAGAACAATGCAAATAGAAAATAATATTTGCTCCCAAACCGTTGACATGCTTTACAGTATTTATGATAAGCCAGTATCAGCTTTTAGTCTAAATACTCCATATGATTTTGGAAACAACATTTTAGACCAACACATATGGTTTGTTCATAACCATGTGTGAACATAAACACGGCATTAAGAAGTAAGTTGTTGAGTGTGTTTGAGAATAAGAATTTTTCAAATCTTCGTGGTCAGTTTGTTTGTTGTCAGAAGCCAGAAGTTATTGTTTATTTTGTGCAAATTACTGTCAGAGATTTACCGATTTCAAAATATTGTGTATAGAGATGTTGTTATTTGAAGTCATTCCGCGATGCATGACTTTCATGTTCTAGACTATGAACTACACCTTTTGTATGAGTGGTAACGATACTACCCAGATGCTTGGCTGAAGTCAGTAGGATTGGGTTCAGACTCTAGAATTAATTACTGAAAGCTGAGTGCTCAAGCCATATCTCCCTTCTGTGTAATATTGACGTAGAACGTTTTAAAAATTAGTATTCTACTGAACAAGTTCCTTGAGTAAACACTTTTTGAACTGTTCTGTGCATTTTATCAAACAGTGTGGCGATAAAAGGCGATTAAGTGACGATTTTGTTTGAAGTGAGTGGATGTCTGTGGAAATAAATTAGAAGACGTTAAGAGATTGTTGTGACGTAATAATAAACAAAAATAAGCATCAAACTGTCTTTTATCCTTCTGGTTCTGCTTTCGAATTTCTGAAGTCTTCAAACTATTCATTATGAGAATCTGTCTTAGGTGACATGCTCGGCTGGTTTACAACCTATCCAGTACAGCTATTTTTTGTTGTCAGTTTGTGGGCGATCGTTTACGGAAGCTATTTTAAAATTAAGTGATCGGCCAGTTTTTATTATTTTTCTCTGGTCGTTCAATATCATAGTTCTTTTAACTGCATCTTATTTGCCACAGGTTGATCTTATATATATTTTCCCGCTGCTACGGATGGAAGGATATTGATTTGAACGATGTGAGATCTCAGATATTGGTTCCTTCAGCAACGCAGCGATATAGGAATGTATCAAAAGACGAAGAGCTACAAATGAAAGACAAAATCATCTTACTCAGTACTGAACTCATAAATTTGTGAGTTTTCACTTCCATAGAAAAGTTATTTGATTCTTAGCAAAGCGACAGATTATCTTTAGCTGTAGTTTATGTTTGAAAACTTTATTTAGGAGGATTATTGTCTAAAAATTGTGTTTAATAATTCTGAATTAACTTCAATTAGAAAAGATATGTGTTACTGAATAGTATCTGTTGTAGTGAACTTAAAAGACCTTGTAATCACCGAACCTTATGAGGAGGTCGAAGAAATTACGATTCTATCAAACATTTTAGCACTAGTTTATAGGAGAAATTTAGGCCTTATATACAACAATATTTTCACACCTAAGACTTCGGTATGAAGGAGAAGTGTTGTTCCCATGTTTGTGAAAGCTTTTGTGCACACATTAGCACACCCGTAAATCTGGAAGATAGTTAAATATTTACCATTTCAGTTTTAGACTCCAGTAAGATGAGTTATAGCCTGGAGTACAGTTTTTATCCTTATTTCAAGTTAAAGCTATTAATATTCAGCTTACTAATGAAAAATCTACAATTTTTACTTCACTGCTGCATTGTTAAGTGTTGCTTGTGATGTGTAGACCATCTTTTATTGCCTAATGATAGGGTTGTGAGGCAGGAGTTGCACTCTAAGAATGAAATAGGAAATAAAACTATGTAACTGCGTATTCTATCAAGTAAACATATTTATTATGGAAACCTGCACTTCAGTGTGTATTCTTCCGAGTTTTGGAGAAGAGGTTTTTTCAACTAAAACTTCCCACAAACTAGATAAAGAAAGTGAGATCATTTTAAACCTGCATTGATGGGGACTATTCTTTTAACCAGAACGAGTGGAATATGTTTACCTTTTTCGCAAAATCAGAAATAATATCTGGCGGTTAGCATCTTAGATGAACACTTCAAATTGTAATACTTTATCTCTTGTAATAAACAACTGCTTAGCTTCATGCACCTGTCGTTATTTGTAAGCTAGGAAAGTTACGTCAGGATGTTACAAAAGATACATTTTATCTGAAAATTTGAAAATACAGAATTTATTGCGGATAACAGCATGGATAACGTGAACATTTAGTGTGAAGTAGAGAGTAAACACTCGGTTCAACAGTTTTCTGTGTTTAACGTAACAGTCGATAGATAAAACCAAACTGTGCAAATACATACATGAAATTAAGTATTATAAAAATTAAATAGTTTCATTAGAAAGCTAATTATATTAAAAATCATTGTATGCTGTCAACATTTCTGTTTAATAAGGGGTTGATTGTGTTCCATTTAGTGCGCACACCTGCTTTGAATAATGAAAAACTTATCCCAACAATTCTCGCTAGTCTGAGTCACAATATCTTAGAAAAATGATACCGATGAAAAACAACTTATTTATTTACTGTGTTGTAGTCATCATATTTCTCAAACTGTCTGGCTGATAGATGAACGTTGCCATTACAGTTTTGTTACAGAATGTGGGATTAATGTTGTGATAAATGTAAAAGCAAGACGAGAAATATACACAGACTGTCCAGAATTCCTCAAGCATATTAGAAATTCTTAAATTAACCAAGCATTTTACACTTCAGTACATAGTAAGTAATCAATGTGAAAAGAATTATAAAGCCTACTCTAGCTAATTGGATACTTCAGCTGCCTGCAGTTCACAGACTTGGAGACTTCCATCGAAGTCTGTCTATTTTAAGTATGATTTTTATATTTGATCACCAAGAGTCATATTTCATACTTTCGACGATCATCAAAACATTTTGCGAGATGTGGATAATTTATGTGGAGTGATATTTCCCTCCTCGCAGGACTTTTAAAACATGGTTTTTTAGACTGAGTTGTCTTTGGTGAAATTAACTTAAGATTTCGAAAAATGACTATTGACACAGGTCATTTAGAGCTAACTGCTAGAGTTGTGAATAAAGTACTTAAGTTTTACGGAATGTATCTTCTAGGCACATATTCAACCTTGAGTAGTTTGAGAACTATGTATCTTTAGGGAAGTGCTACACAAAAACAGTGTGTAAATTACAGCGTTTACCACTGCTGTCATGCCAAGTTTAGTACAGTAATTTTAATGAGTTTCATACTAGATAATTTTACTGTATATAACACAGTGACATAGTATTGTTAACTGATTGACATCTCGAGCAGATTTTACTGCTCACAATCGTCTGATGCAATTTAACTGGATTATAAACAGTGGTGAACAAGATAGTTTTGTTAGATGTAGCACAATTTTCTACTATTAATGGCCTCTCAAGTCATCAGAAAAACCAAGCTAATTAGTCTTTATTAGTTGGCGTATTCATGATATCTGATTATATATAAAAAAGTGTCGCTCAAAGGAGATAGAGGGAAGTGTGAGGTTCGCTCTCTAAATGTGAATGCACTTACTAGCTATTTGTGTAACTATTCATATCAGAATTCACTGCAAATATACACATAAACATCAGCGTCCTACAACAATAATTTTCTAATTTTATTGTCCATATTATTCATTATTATTTCCTTCTGGAGACACTGATGAAACATGCTGTACATTTTTTTTAGAATAAAAGATCTTCCCCTGACTCTGGTTGGTCTGAAGATGTTTATCAGTTCTATCCATCTAGGTAAGTTAAAGTTTCTGTCGAAGTTACTAATGATAGCTCGGAAAATGTCATTTTATATTTCACTGACAACTAGAGGTGATACATATTATTTTTAGTAAGTTAGAAGGTTGGTAGGTTTTTGACTGATGAGAGCATATATATATATATTCAGTTACTTTATTCATGCAGATGTGCGAGAAAGGATCTGGAATCAGGCTCTATCTTTGAATCACATCATATTTTGTGACAGTGAAATAAGCTAGTAGGATGACATTGTTTTTCAAAAGAATGGTAACTGAACAGAGAATATTCTTTTCGATAACTTCATCAGGTCAAACATTTATGTATCCATAACAATGAATGAATTAGAGCTATTAACAACGCTAATGTTTAAATTACACTGAATCAATGATGTCAGTAGACTACAGTTCAATAGAGTCGGTAAGCGTGATAATATGCATCAACATAACACTACACTGAATACCAGAAAAATTTGGAAAGATATTACAAATTCATGAATTAATATTTCATACGAATAAATATCATGAATTAATAGTTTCCACTGAAGGCCAGGGCAAGAGTAGTGGCTGGAGTTGCTTCTTTTACACTCAAAGCACTGGTTGTTCCACGAGAATTGCGATAGCCTCTGGTGTTTGAAGCATGCAGTAACTCGATGCTTTTGGCGATTTATTTGGTATCCGGTGGACGATGGAGAAGGATTTGTCAATGCTGGCTTTGTGGCCGGTTTGAACCAGATGTCTAAAATCTAACTGTTGATGGTTCTTACTTCACCTTTACTTAGCCATACTGGTAGATTTTCTCGAGCACGAAAAGTCGAGTTCCTAGACCAACGGCCAATTTAACTCGCTCCACAAACGCGGCTGAATTGGTAGATACAATTAGAACTGGCTAGTCTAGATATTTCATGTTTCAGCTGAGGAATCACCATCGGTTTTGTAGGAAATATGACTTGTATTTTTGCAAGATTAAAAGTTTTTGAACTGATTTTCTGAACTTCCTCGTAATTGTTTCTCTAGTTATATCGCCCTTGAATTGCAGTCGTAAGCATAGGGGCTTCTTGTTTACGGATAATGAATAGTCCTTTCCAACTTTCTTAGTTATACGTTTCCTGATGAATTTGTCTGGATAGCCATTTTCAACCAAGGTATCATACACAATCCTTAGTTCATCTTCAGTTACCTCTTCTGAGCATATAGCTCTAACACTATGGCTGAGGGGCCTTGCCAAATTTCTTTTGTACTGGAGAGGAACGAAGCTATGAAAATGTATATACTGCCTTGTCCGTTTGCTTTTCATATGCAAAATTCTCTGTATACCATCATATGCTGTTTTATAAAGAGGACATCTAGAATGAAGCCATCGAAAAGAATATTCTTTGTTCAGTAATCGTTCATCTAGAAAAAATTTTAATGGGCATTTTTAATCAGTTATGATGGCACTGACAAAACTGTTAGTGAAGAGTAATTGGATACATTAATTTGTTTAATAATCTATTACACTTCATGAATGTAGTAACATGGAAATATAACTTGTAAGAGCTTCCAGTTTTCACTAACTCCTCAAAAGTTTTAAGCTGGACTGAATTATTTGACTAACTTTCAAAAGACTGACAATTAGACCTCAGACGACATAAATCAGGAGTTTCGTTAACTATCTAAGTAGCTCATGATCTGCCATCCTACAGAACGAAGTACTCACTTTGTAGCTGGTTGGATTAACATTGTGAAGGAGAGTGAAAAATAACATGATAAGGAAAGAAGAAGGTGCGATTTATTTCATAGTATTTTTCTAAGTATCAATGGTTTGGTTTATTATTTCATTCAAAAATATCCTGCATTTGTTGCGTGAAGTTCGGGAAATACAAACATTTCATATAACCAAAGGGCCAGTTAGATCTCTTTTGCCAAGGCAGACCAAGAAAAATGAAAATGAAAGCCTTATAGTTCAATGATGGAGTTAGTAAGATTCGTGGAACTGAACATTGGTTATTTTATGAGAGCCTACATTTGTCCCGTGTAGTAAAACTGACATATAGTATATCTTAGCATTTCCAGATATGTAAATAATTAAATGTAGATATCATTGTTAAATATTACGGTTTCCAAAAATAAAAAAATTACTATCTTACTGCAAATTGATCTACTCATGCGACGTTGTTTACACCGATGAGAACTTGAACACATATCACTAAACTATGCTATTTCTGATTTTAAAAAGGCTAAAATCACATATCATTGAACCTTGACTCAATGGCTATAGAATGTTAATGTGCCTGTCTTGAAAGCAAAACCTTGGCAGTATTCCTCACCGAGCGATAAGTATGCATTATTAGAGATTCCCGCATTGGAATGAAATGAAGTCTAACGAAGTCTACCACTTAATCTTTATGTGTTTGCCTAATTAGTTTCCTAGTGTCTTCATTCATCCATAATGCATAGAATCCTTTTTTTGATTTTGCAATTATTCAAGAACCAAACAGCATAAAACTATTTCACTTTAACTGTCATTCATTTTACTCAATAACACTGGTATATTACACAGATTTATAACGCACAAATTTATATCTTTTCATGTATTTGTAGTGTATGGCTTATTAAACTGAAATATTTCTGTGCAGTGGTTCAACTTTTATCTGTTACTTTATTAATTCGAATAACATCATCAAGAGAATACAGAAAAGTGAATCTGTTTGCAAGCTGTATTCTCATCATTTGATTCCAGTCGCATATTGTCTGTTATCAGTAGAACGTTTTGTGTCTCTGAAGCGTTTCTGAACCGTATACCCTTAGAAATTTAGGCGAACATTTCAAGAAAATTTGAGTAAAAATTCTTCATCTTCACCAGCTGTAAGATATGAATAAACCTGTTTGTCTATGTCTTCACCACAGAGGTATTTAGTGTAGGGTTTAAAATACATTAATGTTCCCTTAATATCGTGAGCTACTTCTTGCAGAAGTCAGTTGCAAACGTCAGGAGAACTTACAACTAATCAGAAGCTTATAGAATCGCCTAAGGGATCCTGTGAACGATCAGCAGCTCGAAACAAAGTAGACGAAGGTTTTACTATTATCGAACGATGTTAAAAAGCCTACCATCGGCACACTTCAATACTTATGCTTCATTTTATTCACATCACCAGAAGAAACCGACCACTAGCAGTCACCTAATGAAAATTTCAAGATACGGTAACATTTTAGTGCAACAATAGAAACCAAATATGCATTTGTTGGATTTTATTTCAATAAAAGCTATACCCTTTTCTAAACAAATCATTTAGTTAAAACATGCTTGAATTCGATAAAACGACTGTATGACAGCTTAAGTATGTCTACAACATTATTAAATTTTTAAACATTTGCATATGTTGAATTTGACTTGTAGTCCACTAAACGCCTATACAATCCTAATTCTATACATTCTTAATTCTTCTTTATAGCTTTTAGTGAATAAAAGCGTCACTTACAATACGATATGAAAGTTTCAAAAATCCAGACTTTTACTTATCGATGTAATATTAACTGAACTTAAATTTGCAGCTAATATTTTTCAACATGAAGCGATGGTGAGACACTTTGAAGCCTTTTTATTTCAAGTTCAAGATGGTACAATCATGTATCGATATTATATTACACAGACACTAATACATCCGAATATTTTTGAACTTAGCACTGTATTCACTTTAAATACTTTTGTGATTTTCCTAAGTCTAAATGAACACAGAATTGTCTGATACATTAAGCAAGTGTGGTTTTGATAGTCAACTTCTAACAGTCCTATCCTATTCATGAATGCAGTATAATTATGCTGGTGAATAAAGACTTATTTTTATTTTCATGACTGAACTTTTTATCACTATTTTTTTTCATCAGAATGTTGCTATACCTCTTTCAGTCATTAAGTAGACATTTTATTACTACTTCTCAAAGAGTTAAACCCCTAACAGTAATACCGTTTGCTCAAAAGCCTGAAGTTACACAACATATTTTGAAGTGAAAATGTTTTTATTTCAAACTTGTAGTGACACTGAAAGTAACCAGGCCAAAAAATCTTTTAAATTAGGTAAGATGTACCTTTACTAAGTTTAGCTAGCAATTACTGCATAATTAACAAAATATGCCTTTTTGATTTCGTCAGATTTTTAATTTCTTTTTCAAACAGCTCGTGGAATGCATCATACGCGAAAACAGATGGCACTGTTTGCGGTTGATTGGTTGACTTTTGGCTTGGAAACTGCTGGTGGTGGTGCTAAGGCAAGAGCTAATCATCAGTTCATTAATAAGGTTGCCCCAGTGCAGCCATTTCTTCCGGAAGACTCAACTCCAGAAACCATGTTTATGACAGTTAAGGTAGATCACGATTAATACTACAAATCTGTTTATAATTTCTGTCTTGTTAATATATATATATATTTAACAGTGGGGAGTAAAACTGTATGAGGCAAGTTACAAAGTTATGTGAATATATTGATGTGATTAGAAGAAATAAATTATGCTCGAAATGTTGTCCAGTTATTAACACTGTATCGCTGCGTTTTATATCAAATAATCCTGTCTAGTGCAAATATGTACTCTGCTCTTACATTACCTTGTCTGCTTACTTCAGACCAGGGATAAGACTTGTCAACAGAAATATACTCTTTTTGAGGAAGCCTAATAGTCTTTTGTTATTCAGATAAAGAAGAGCTGTGGAAATGATTGTCAGTAAAAATTCTTGACAGTACAGTTAGTAATTTTCAACGGTTTCTTCTAGATTCGTTTTTTTATTTGAGATTTTATTAGGACAGAATTACTGATTGGTGCTGGATGCAAATTAGTACAGGTTTTGTTTGCAAACAGAGATGAACTGTGTCTCACAAATTAAAGACCAGAGAAATTCATTTGTCTGTTTCGCGGATTATAAGTGGTACTTTTTCCGTCTTCAAAAGCATACCTTTTTACTGTCATTATGCAAAGATACACTGATGTTTAGTAATTATTATACCCATGAATGATCATAAAGTTTCATTCACTTCACTAATTCTTCAAAAACTTTGGTATTGTTTTACAAGTTGTAAGCGGTTGCAGATTATGTGCATTATGTTCAAAGAAAAGATGAGTTAACAAATACCTAAAAAGGTACTGGTTTAATACATCTACAGAAATCTGATGGCTAAAAGCCGATTAAGCAGAAATTTGTCCACTTACTATTTTATCATTGTGCTGAATTTTGAAACTAATATAATACGAAGCACTGTGTAACCAACCACTTTAAAGGGACTCAGTAACTGTTAACACCTGACAAATTGTGCTGTAAATCAATTCTACATTAAGCTGTCGGTAAAATATTAAAGCCAATATCAAACCATTTTTTGATGATTGAAACTGAAAGAAAATTGCTCGTGAAGTATTTGACAGGTTGTAAATTAATGGTACTTAAAAAGTCCTAAACATTAACTTTTGTCTGTAGTTGTGTCTGTAATTTTCTCTCTTTCAACTGTTTATCATTCAACAAAGGATCTTATCTGGATTTGTTGTACCGACAACAATCGACTTATTCGTATCTCATCACTCGGGGCACTACATTTCCTATTTGCTCAGCTGTCTACAAATACAGTTGTACGCTTGATTAAATTGTCACTTGAAGTAAGTGTACTATTAAAATTTATCAAAATATCTTCATTTTATCAATTTTGTATGCAGTGTTATAACTTCCTGCCATTTAATTTACACCTGTGTCACTATAATGGTATTGCTTACGTAAATGCAAAGGACACCGCAGTAATAAAATTTAGGCAATACTGTTGATCGTATTTAAATGACTCTTGAAATTGTCAAGTCATTTTTTGGATTGAACAAAGTTCATTTTTAAAACATTTAGTTCCCTTTTTGAATTTAGATAAAGCAATGAGAAGACGTAATTTGTCTGAATCGTGTAAAGTATTTGCATAACACACTTCGAAAAATTAGATCGCACACGGACTTGTCATAGGAATATATATGAAATTAATAAAGAGTCAAGAGGTGAGAAAATAGACTTAGGTCAAGCTAAAGGGACATACGGAAGACAAATTACGTCTTCTTGTTGTTTTGTCTAAAGTTCATTTTGTTTTCCACATTGATCATGTTGTAGATTTAATAAATCATGAGGGAAAGCATTCAAAGAATGTTCAGACAAGATGTTTTAGAGGTTGACGGATATCTCGTTCAACAACTTCTAATTAATTTATTCTCGCGTACCAAAGACAAAGCAAAAGCCAATTATTGATCGTCCGAACCAAGAGATGTATTTAGGAACCAAAACCAGCCGTTAGACGAACGCTTAGCTAGCTAGTGATCGTGCACGTTACACGACGGGGTACCAAATGGCGGGGATGCTTGACCGGAAGCCTTCAGCTAAACAAGTCGACTTAAACAGTGGTGGTCAGCATCCAATGAGTGATTGCTGTGGTCAATAATTTTGGGGAATTATTTACCGCTACAATGTTTTTGAAACCTACTTTAAATTCTCATATCGTATTGGAGTAAATAACATTGTCACTGTCTATAGGTTCAGGAAAACTCAGTTATTTAAAGCATATAGGACCAGACCAGACTATCAGTCAATGCTTTAACCACATTATACTCTAAAATCTATTTGACAGTCATTTGCATGCTTCAAAACTAAGCGGAGTAAAATATAAAGTGTTTGTATTATGACAAAACACTACGCGTAAAAATAAGTAATACTAACACTAACAGTATTGCAATTCATCTTCAAACATTTCACATTTTAAGAAAACTTAAGTATTGCATACCTCGAGCAGCTTTTTCAAACTATTAGTAATTACAACCTGTGCGTTAATAAAGACACTGTCACATGATAGAACTTAATAAGTAACATGTATTATTTGGTGTACGCAAAGCGTTAACTTATGCATTAGACTGAAATGCCTCAGAAAAAGTTTTCGACTGGTTATCTTCAGACGAAAGAAAATTGCGGCTTTATTTAATCAAATTAACTGAAAAATTACATTTTTTAAATTATAGTACTAGAGTATTTATATTACTGTTAGCTTCTACAGAATATAATATTTGAATGAACCTAAACGAATGTAGCAAAAACAAAAAAGGCGAATAAAATCACAGATTCTTGGTGAATGAATTTTATCTACACAAAGTTCGTTAAGATTAAGCACAATTAGTGAAAAGCTTTTTTACATAGGTTATACTGATGTGGTAGAATAACTCGTTATTTGATTGCTTTTAAGCAGAGAATCTAGACTATCTCACCTAATTTCAGAACAAAAATAGTCGATAATGATAGTGCAAGTTAGGTAATCTTACCTAAATTTGTTGAGCCTCAGGTGCATGTATTTTGTTTTCTAGACCTTAATTTTCACTCAAAGTTAGTTCTATTAAAGATAGCGACACAATAAACCTTGGGTTTACAGAGAAGTGCATGTAGGCTAGCATTCTCTGGTTTTACGTCACTAAAGGCTGAAAAGCTGAAAATGCTTTAAAATTATTTGGCTTATGTTGATAATGTGGTCAGCTTTATGCTCATATGATATTATCACCCCGATCATGAAAGTATGTTTTAAAGGAACTTTGTTAATTTGTTCAGTCCTGTGATGATTAACATTGTTGACAACATAAATAAGGAATCTTGAAAAGCTTGAAAATTTATCACATACCTTCTCCGCTCATTCATTCTGTAGTTATGCAAATAGCTCACAAGAAGTTAGTAATTTTGTAAAGTCAAGTAGGGACTTGCTAATGAAAAGTGGCTTGACTGAAGTTTTTTAAACTGCGGTTCAAAGACACTTAAGATGGAGGAGTTTTATTGTAAAACTTTTGATCTTTCCTACTTTTTTTTACTGAGTTAGTCTAATAAGTTTATTCATACAAGTTTGACCATGGATTGATATCAGTTAGAGGACCACTAAAATCCGGGGAGTACTGGACAGCTGTTTCATCCTAGTTTGGGAATCATCGAAGGTACACACTCGCTTGGGTCTAAACCCAGAACCTTCAGGTTACAAGTCAGCCTCGTATACCATTAAGCCGCTGGGACCCGATTCATCGGCCCATGAATTCGAAATTCTAACAATTTGTGATTTAGCGCGACCATCAACCAACGTCATCAGTGGAAACTCCATCCTCAAATTTGACTAGATGGATCTCACTGGTCACTATCAGTTTATGTTGCCGAAAACCTCTTAACAAGGAGGTATCAGTACTTTCCTTTGTACAGTTTCAGTTATATTTTCAATACCGACTAACATCTAAATCTAGGACTTATTATAAAAAAATTGATATGATTATGAACAATAAATTGTGTTTGAAACGTCATCCAGTATATAATATTGTTTCACTGTGTGATATATCTAATAAACAAACTAATATGGAATGAATTATTATTTACGTTCAACTGCACTCCAGTTGGTATTAACGTTCCTACTAAAAATCAAAATCATATTTAATTGTTTCAGATATCGTAGCGTTACACATTTGACTGCTGACGTGAATCACTTGAAGATTTCGTGACTGTGAAGCCTGGCTAGTAATGGTTTGGTGTTCAGTAAAATGGATACTTAACTTCAGTCTGAGTAGATATAATTAAGCTAACTAAGATGCAACTAAACCTGGTGCTGTAAATATTTGTACAAGTCTCTAGTAAACGAAACGAAATAGACAGTTAACAAGAAAGTAATAAAGACTAGAGAAAAACAAACCAAAGTCTTCATTCATGATTGTAATTATACAGTCTTATGGAGAAATCACAGCTAGGAGCAATGGTCAGTTGTCATTCCACATAGATTTCATAAGAAATTATAATATGAGATATGATATATTAAATCAATAGTACATTTTGTAATAATTAGTTTTATGGCGAGTTTCCGTAACAACATAAATAAATTATTGAATTAGAATGGATAACTCCTTGCAGGCTCTTACGTCTTTAACAGTTTGATGATTGTAGATAGTGTGTATAAGTATAAACATATCCATATCACCATATGGAAACACCAAAAGTCAGATGGATTTCATCTTAATCTCAGGAATGCAGTGACACAGCCTTCTGGACACAAAACCAAGAGGAGAAGAAGATGTGGGCTCAGACCTCTTTCTGGCTAAAGAAACCTTCGAGGTCAATCTGGAAGCCTTCATTTCAAATTTAACACTCAGAGGCTGAAGAACAAAAGGATGCCTTTAGTATAGTCTTTAGAAAAAAGTTGAAGGCATTACGTCATATCACTGAAGAAACCTATACGGAGAGACATTGTAACTCTGTTAAAGCAGTTCTGAGGGAAACCTGCATAGTGGTCTTAGAAAGGGAGAAGAGACAGAGCATGGAATGTCTCACTACGGACACGTTAAAAACGATAGCAAAAACGTTTGGTGAATAAGAAGATGAACAACAAAAGCAGAAGGTGTATACAACCTGCAGCTCTAGAAAAAACGAATGAGATCTTAATGACATGCTAGCTACTGAAGAGTAACAGGCTGCAATTAAGAGAGGAATCACAGTATTATACCAAATAACCAGGCTGTTCTCCGGAAAGAGATCCATGCAAATTGAGCCAGCTGAACATAATAAAATAGATCCAGTCACCATCACCTACAACTCATCTTGAAATAGCTGTATGCCGATCACCGTCAAAAACAGAACTACCAATGAACACCAACCCTCTGATAAAATCAGAAGTCTTGAAGGTCATAAAGTTAGCGAAAGCAGAAAGACCAAGCAGAATCGCCCCAGAGGGCTGAGCGGAGATGCTAAAGTAACTACGGAAGGTTGACTGCTTTCGATCATAGATGTCTGCGATCTCTGTCTCACGTTAGGTGGTTTAATAAGGTAAGTAATGTTGACGTTAGGCGTAGAGTGTTGGGCAAACAGGGAAAATCAATCGACGAGGCTATAAAGTTACATAGATTGAGATCGCTAGGTCACGTGCTGCGCATGCCTAACCACCGCCTCCCCCGACGGGCATTACTAGCTGATATAGGTGCAGGTTGGAAAAGAGCCAGTGGTGGCCAAACAAAAACATGGCATCAATCCATGAAATCCTTGACAGTTAAACTGAGTCAGGTAGGGAGATGCAGACTCCCGGGTTGGGGCCCTCGGGACTCTAGGAACCAATGGCTGGAGACAATAGGTGACATGGCTCAAAATCGTTGTCAATGGCGCAGATGTATTCAGTCTCTGTAATCTTTCATATTCCCTTCTACCATTACCCATTCTGTTTCACTCTTATACTTGTCAAACTCTATTAATTCTATTCACTCATCTTATCTACCTCTGTGTGCTGTTTGGAACGTGGCAACCCGAACTGGTGCACTTCGGTGCCAAGTTCTATGTTGAATCCAGACAGACAGACGGAAGGCAGCGTAGAAGGAAGAACGGTACCCAGAGACAGGGAAGAAAGGCCAACTTGTCAAACTGCCAAAGAGAGGAAGTATATGTCCATGTAAGAACTGACGCGAAATCATGGTCGTGTGCACCAGATAAAGAATATCAGGCCACATCATTCAGCAGTGAATAAAAGATACTCTTGGTGGAAGGTTTCCTCTTCTGAAACTATATCCCCAGTCGGGTGGAGACCAAAATACAAAGTTATACATCGTCAGTGAACAGGTTATTCTCTCCTTCAGTTTTATCG